TATATATATATATATATATTGTAGGACGGTTGTTTGTTTGGTTTATTTATCTTTTTAGAGATGTTTTTACGTAGATTTAAAATTACAATTTTACATAGATTAAATTATTTTATATGAAGATTTATTTCAATTTATCATTAAAAGATTATTTGCTTGATTTTATTCTTTTTTTTCTCATTTCATTTTATATAGATTACTTTTTTTCTTTTGTATGAAGATTCTCTATAAATGTATTTTTTTTTGTATGGAGATTTGTTTGGTTTCTTTTATATTTTCATATTTAATTTGACATAAATTAACATTTTTGTATGAAGGTTGTTTATTTATTTATTCATCTATCCTTTTTATTGTTTAATTTTATATAAATTGTATTGTTTGTATGGAGATTATTTTATGTAATTTATGTAGATTTAATTTTGTGTGACCGTTGTTTGTTTGGTTTATTCATCTTTTCAATATTTTTTATTTAGAGATTTAATTTTACATATATTTTATTTTTTGAAGTCTATTTATTTATTTATTTATTTCACATGTGATGAAAACAGTCTTCAGTGTTGACATGGCATTAATCAATTACTACAATTATTTATTTGAAACAGTCATCAATCATGCAGTATAATGCTTAAATCGTGATTTGTTATAATAACCGGCTGACTATACATTTTTCCATACATATCAGCTTTTTACAGTCCGCTCAAATCCTGACAGATAAAATAAACTCCCAGCCTACACTGTTATTATACCACTGAATATTGTTTTTCGCTTATGAAAAATGACACATTATGTAAGTTCAGTGTGTTGTAAATGCCATTTCATGTTGTTATTGCGATTACATAGAAAAGCTCAAAAGTAAAATGAGTTTTTCCTCTCCACAGATTCTCAGAGCGCTGTGGTTCCAGGCTCTACCCCGGACGGAGAGATCTTTTTCTGCTGATTCGGCCCCCTCTTCATCTTCCACTATCCCACAATGCCTCCATGCAGGGCTGCTGGTCTCTGGTTGTGGACTTGTAAACCAGAGTAAGAAGAACATACCTGTGGTCCCGATGGGCGTCAGGCCTGGACAGGAAATTTAAACGGATTGTTTCCTGTGACATGATTTTCAGCGGCCAGCATACTGCACAGTGCCTTCCATCCCTCACATACACCTATGAACACTAGCAGGGACTTGGAGCACGAGTTTGGGGACACAGATCATGTCAGATAAACCCACCGCGGGTACTTTCTCACACACAGACTTCCTGTAAAAATCAAAAAGAGATTTATAACAGCAAGTGGCATCACGCTGAGAGACAGCTGGCTTTCCAACGACAGCAAAAGTCAGTTTCTGAAGGACATTTGACTAATGAAGATACTAATAATCAAAGTGAGTGAACTCAAATTGCAGTTTGCAATGCAGTGACTAAGTTTCTACATATTTTCATCCTTTTCTTTCAACCCCGACATGTTACAATGTGCCTCACTAATATTGGACCAGACTTGGTTTAAATACAGTCCCAAGGTTTTATTTCTTTTAAAAAGGCCGCAAAATACTTTTTATGAATAGAAGGGATGCTTTGGAAAACAATTTAGTGGGCACGACAGAAATGGAAGTGCAAAAGAGTGTAACAAATATTGTCTTTTTATTTATTTATTGCTTTTGTTAATCACATTTCCATCCCTAAATGACTGAAAATTAATGTCTCACTGAAAAAAAAAAAAGTTTTGTGACTCTAAAGGCTTCACAAACCCCACAGAAGTTTTTTTTCTTTTTCTTATAAACCTCAATGCAATTTTAATCCTTAGCACTTTATAAGCACACATCGAGTGGAAAAAAAAATGGCTGGCTTTAAAACGAGACAATCGATCAGCTCCACTTAACTGGTAAATGGCCTCCTTTGTACATGCAAGGTTTTATTTGATAATCTTTTACTGTACCATATGAATGTTATGTAAATTTGTTAAACCAAACACAAAGCTAGCTTTCATATTAAGCTACCAAAAGAGCGGGTGTTTTCAACTGCAGTATTTTTTCTTTTTTAAAGATTATTAAACACAATTTGAACGAGATGAGGGATTCAACTTTATGTAGGCTAACAAATTCAAGTTGTATTAGCCACGAAGTATCGCAGTTCTATGCTCAAGCCAGAAATGTCGATTTGACAGGTAAAAGTATGATGAATATAGCCTACATTGTGTTGGTGTATTAAACGCTTGGTTTGTACCCTCAAATAACTAGATTTTAGCCAGTCAAAGCCCTTGCCTGCTGGCCAGGCTAACCGTTCTGTTGAACATGTGAGAAAATATTTTAAGAAAGGGGAAATTGTGCAGGTAAAAAGTGTTAATTTAAGCTTTCTGCTCTGTTTTTTTTAATTTTCTTGCCATTAAACTTTTACCTAACACGCCTCTCTAATGCATTAGAGTGATGAATGTCTCATGATTAATTTATCGATTAGTTCCCTCTGCCCTCTTGGGATTTAATTTATACATCCGAGAGATTTTTTTATTACCCGTCAGCAGTGTTGGGGGTACGCATTACAAGTTACGTAATCAGATTACTTTTTTCAAGTAACTAGTAAAGTAACGCATTGCTTTTTAATTTACAAGAGAATATCGGAGTTACTTTTTCAAATAAGTAACGCAAGTTACTTTTTTTTTTTTTTTCAATTTATTGATTGACAGCTCTCCTGTCCCCATGTTGAGAGAAATCAGATGTTACTGTAGTTCAAAATAAATATGAATATGCATTCATTCATCTCACTCTCACACAAAAAAAACACAGATTCAGTATTCCTCAAAATTAATAAAAAATAATGCAACTCAGAATATGACGCAAACCTGCAATAATTAAATGTTAAACAACACAAATATCCTTTATGTATTTAATCCCATTCTATTAACCAATGTCTTTGCTTCTGACCTTCGATGATCCAGTTCAAGCGTACTAATAAGCAAAAATTACTCTGTTTGTTTTTTTATTTTTTATTGCTGAAGTGTGTTGAAATGTCGTCTTCTGCATTCTTCTGTACGGACGTACGTTTACTTTCCCTTCAGCCTGAGGCTTATTCATTTCACTTTTGGTGTGAAAAGGCTTTTATATTTGCCAAAAATAGAACTTTTTTATTTTAAAACCAAACAAGCAAGCCCTGTCCAGATTTAAAAAGTAACGTAACGCATTACTTTCCATAAAAAGTAACTAAGTACCGTAATTAGTTACTTTTTTATGGAGTAATGCAATATTGTAATGCATTACTTTTAAAAGTAACTTTCCCCAACACTGCCGGTCAGCATATTCCCACAGCTGCTGACGCTGACATTCTGCATGCTGGTATGTTATGGTGCTAAACTGAGAATTGAAAAGCCTTAATCAACAGAGGGTGCTGTTGCGATGTTCATCCGCTGTCATTTCCCTTGTCTCTCCTGAAGCATAACACACCTCAGACTTTACAAAACACATTGTTTTGTTGGATAACTGAGTAATGCTCGCGTTCTTTAAGTAGCCTTAAATATTCCCCAGATCCTGCAGTGTTTGTCAGTTCCTTTTTATCGCCAAATCTTCCTTCAGGGAAACATAACTCAAAATGAATTATTACTAGCACAATTAAAGCTACTCGGAAGTATTCTCGCTCATTTGACTCATTTTGGCTGCCACGAGAAGTGCACTAAAGCAGGGGTGCCCTGAAGAGTTTAGCTCCAACCCCAATTAAACACACCTGAAGCAGCTAATCAAGCTCTTACTAGGCATACTAGAAACTTGAAGGCAGGTGTGTTGAGGCAAGTTGGAGCTAAACTCTGCAGGACACCGGGCCTCCAGGACCGAGTTTGGGCACCCCTGCACTAAAGAATCCAAATCGTCACGTTAATGCAAGTCAAACTTATGTCTGCTTCACGCAATGGACCCTTGGACACTATATTTAATTTTCATTTTTCACAAGTTAAATTGATTGTCCTGCTGACACAACATTTAAAATACATTTTTCAAAAACTCCTGGTGTCAAAAAATAACGTTTTGTTAAAGTTACACTGGGCTTTTTCCCCTCACAGCCTCGTTTTCATTCATGAAAAATTCAACACGTCTACCATCTTTAGGTCTGTGGTTACTAAGAGGTACCGTCATTTCTTGTTCAATTTTGTGTAAAAAAATGGGCAAAATACCACAAATTCTGTAAATATCTGTAATGTAAAAAAATTAATTGAAAAAGTATTAATTATGGATTTTCTTTTTGTGCTTTGATTTAAAGCTTTTTATAACCAGCTTTATTTATCAGCATTCTCTGTGTTAGAGAGATGAAAAATGTACATTAAAAAAATCTTAATAAAAAAACTTGTACATCAGTCCATTGTCCCTGTTTATTTTTTGTTCAGATAGATAGGTGTGTATACATACATACACACACATATATACATACAAGTGTATATATACAAATATTTTGTTATACATATGTATATAATATGCCCACTATGTCTCCAGATGTATCAGATTTCAAAGTTATTGAGGGAAGATTAAGTCTAAATTGTCAGACTGAAGCCAGCTGTTCAGAAGCCATGCTTGATTGGAGCACCTGTTGCTACTTTCTCTTCCTCTGGTCTGGTCCAGCTCAAGGTTTCACGGCAGCAGACACCACTATGAGTCCATTTGTCCTGCTTTGAGTTAAGCGACTGCCTCCTAAATGTGCTTTTTCTCTCATGCGGTTGGTTGGATGTGTTTGAAGGGGGGCCGTGGCATCTTACCCCTTTGGACTCCATTGACTTTGCCTTTGTTCCTGTTGCCAAGCTACCCTGCTCTTTTGGCAAGCACAAAGGTATGAAACGGTGCTTGAAGGTAATGCTAAGCTGAAAAGAACTAGTTCCTTGTCAGATTAAAGACTGGATGTTCATTTTTCTGCTTGTTTACAAGGTGATTTTATCCAGCCCTGGAGGAATGCTCTCATCTTTATCCAGATAACTTAAATCCAAGTCTTGGTGGCTTTAGCTAGTGATACACTTTGTTTTCTTTGTTTGTTTCCTTGTTCCTGGAGAATTAAGCAGTTTTTTTTTCTTTTGGGAGTTGCTCTTAAAACAGTAAAGAAGGTCCGATATCTCATTGGTTTTTCCATTTTTGTCTCCTGCATTATGACCTTTTCTAGAACTTGCCAAACGTCGACTCCCAGTAATGTAATGTTTAGTATTTGTGAATGATCCCTCAGTACCTGTCATTGTTGTCCCCGTTTTGTCTATCTGTTGATTGGGTTTTGCTGTACCATCTTTTTTTCTCTCTCTTTTCAAAGAGAACAAAGGATCCACATGCAACCTAGAGAAACCTGAGCCTTTGTTGTGCGCTGACAGTCCGTGTATAAATATCAGTTGTATGTCAGGGAGAACAATAGCTCTGTGCTGCAGATACGCGAAGGACTGTGGCCTTTTATGTGCCAAGAAGAACGGCGCTCATGAAATTGTTGTTGGGTTTCCTTGGGATAAGGTTGTACTGGCTATCTGATGTTTTCCATTCACATGTGGCATCTCGCTTTGTATTGGGGCGGATGCTGGAATCTCCAGACAGAGTTTAATAAAGCTGTTAGAGAAAGCAATGGGACATTTCATTAGGTCCACTCGAGACTGCCATTCAATGAGCAAGAAAGTGTTGATGTATTAGGACATTTCTGTAAATCTACTTAGTGATACTATTAAAGCACTTGAGATGGTTGTTGTTGAGGTCATGTAGAGGTTTAATGGTCTGACTCATCATGGTCTGCTTTTACTGTTGCTGAAGTCCACAGAATCATGTCAAATGTATTTAGTGCATGTGTGTAGAAAAATTATTTATTTATTTAAAAAAATTTTTTGAATTGCCCTCGGTTAATCTTCAGAAATGTAAATGTTTTATATGAAATGTATATAAATGCATTAATTAATGACCAGTGTTAGGCTAAATATAATGTAAAAAAATGCATTTTTATTTGTGCTGTATTATGATGTGATGCTTAAATTCACTTGTATAATTTTAGATTTACAATTCATTACTTCTAATGAAAAATGTTATCTTCAGCAGATCTAAAATGAATTCATATATACTGTACATTATAATATTGTGATGCCCACGTAGTTTTTTTTTTTTTTTTTTTTTTAGACAAAATAGTAAAGACTTTTAATGCTGGTCATCTATAAAATGAAAATAATTACTGGCTTCTCAATATTGGCCATACTTTTAATATTAATCCAATATAATATAGTGCTATACTGTTTTAGTTTTTTTTTTTGAAGTATGAAACAAATTACTGATTTGGCAAGAAAATACTATTTAGGCCTACAAGTCTTTCTACTTCAAAATGTCATATTTAATTCAAAGTGTTACTAGCCTTTTCTTTGTAATTAATTGTGAAATTTACTAGTAACTTCTGAGTGAAACTTCAGTGTGAAACAATATATATTAATAATGAACACCTTTTTATTTACTTAGTTAATTGTCTTCGAAGAACCAACCCAAGCTACTGTGTTTGGTTTAGACTGTCTGTTTTTCAGATGGATGGCTGTCCGATGGCTTTGTTTTATGATGAGTCGTTTAACTAGCTGGACAGGCCTTGTAAAACCACCATCTCGTGCCAGCTCGTAAATCTACGCGGTCCTTCGCTCTCGGTTCCGTTTATCTTTCTCATGCTGCCCTGCGTGCCCGTCTATCGCTCCATCTCTAGTTGTGATATTGTGGCGCTCCATCACTGTCTGCGGTGCTGCAGTGAGGGAGGATGCATCTCATTCGTCTGTCTCCCTCCCCCGACCAGCCGTCCTGATGAGAGAGACTGCGGTGTTTGCGCTTCATCATTCGATTTCCTGCCGCCCCTTGGCTCTCATCAGCTGTAATCGTATTTCACCTGCTACCTTAAATCAGGAAGCCTCTGCTGTGCCTCGCTGCTGGGTTTTGTTGCAGTTCTTCACTCTATTTTCAGTCATTGTTCTTGGAGGACAGACAAGAACAAAGAAATCAATCATGCTTTTACACATTTATCTAATTTCCTTTTCTAATAAGGTGAATTAGGAATAACGGGGCATTGCATTCCATTGTGAAACCGCAAATTGCAAAGAGGCTTAAGAAAAATGTTGTCTTATTTTTATTAATATGAATTTATTAATAGTAGTGGTATTTAATTTGACAATTTTAAGTGTCCCCCCCCCCCCCCCCCCCCAACACAACGCCAACAT